TGTGTGTTATTGTTGCAATAATGATTAAATAAGTATATAAATATATAAATAAATAATAGTAACAAATTAAAAAAAAAAAAAAAGCCAAATAAATAATTATTATAAACAACAAAAAAAGAAAAAAAGAAAAAAAAATGGGGTGTTTTTTTTTAAAAAAATTTCCCTTTGGTACCTGTTGTGTGGTGGGGGGACCTTGGCGATATGGGCGAAAAAGGGTGAAATATGTTATTAGGGTGTAAATTTCAAATGTGTGTATGGGGGGGTTAAATTTATTATTTTTATATTTTTTTATATGTAGTGGTATTGTTTAAAATAATAAAAATAATTGAGCAAGAGGAGAAATTTAAAATTTTAGTTATATTTTTTTTTTTATTATTAATGTTTGTTTTTTTAAATTTTTTTGGCACCCCCCTCATAACCCCCCCTAAAATTTATTCGCAAAGTTAAAAAAACTGATCAGCCTCAGTTTTCTACCAAAATTTCATTCATCCCCAAAAAAAAAATTTAATTTTGAAAAGGCACAGAAACAACTCTTTTTGAAATTAAATAAAAATTTAAAATTGTTTGTGATTTAATTGGTTCGGTAAATTTGAAAATACCGTTGGTTTTTTTACTATGAGTTGAAAATAAAAAAATCCAATTTAAAAATATATTTTTATAGAAATGTAAATATATATAAATATATATTTATAAACAAAAAATAATAATAAATAATAAATAATAAATAACAAATAATAAATAGTATATATAGATAATAAATAAAGATTATAGTTGGTTGTATATATTAAAAAAAAAAAAAAAAATAAAAAAAAAAAAAAAGTATAAAAATTAGTTTTTTATTTTTTAATTTTTTTAATTTTTTTATTTTATGCAAAGAAAAGGTTTGGTAAAATTCAACTCATCAAGAGCCTATGGGGGATACTCCGCTATTCCCCATTTTCTGTGTGGCCTAAATACACACAAATACACTATAGTTTTCGTTAATGCTGCATAGGCTTTATGGTAGATATTACCAAATTTTCAATTATCAAAAATAAAATAAAAAATAAAATTAAATAAAATATAATAAAATAAAATAAAATAAAATATAATAAAATAAAAATAATTAAAATATAAAATAAATTTACAATAATTTTTAAGACAACATTTCTTTTATTTATTTTTTATTTTTTTTATTATACACCCAATCAAAAATTACATTTAAATAAAAATTAATAAAAAAAAAAAAAAAAAAAAAAAAAAAAAATCTGTAAAATCAACTAAAACACTGGTGATATTTAGAATCTTAAAACCCTAATTATGGGACCATATATATCTCGAATCAAATTGTATAGTTTCTAAATATTTTTTATGTTATTTTTTTCCACCTTAAATTTTTAAAAAACGCTCTTTTGACATTCTTTGGTTTAGATAAAATAAAAATTTCAAATCCTTTTTCTTTTTTTTTTCTGATTGTTTTTTTTTTTATTTTTTTATTTATTTTTTTTGGAGTTTAAAAATAATATATATAAAAAAAAAATGTAAATCTATTACCACAATCACAAAAGAAATGACAAAATTTTCAAATATTTTATATAAAGATATTATTGAAATATTAATAAAATTAATAATAAATAAATCATTAAATCAATGTGTGTGTGATAATTTTGAAAGTATTTATAATATAGATAATCAAATAGTTTATGAAATAAGGGAATACAGTTTAGTTTCAAAATATTTTTTTAAAATAGTATCAAATGCATTACAAGAAAATATAAATATAAATAATTATAGTGTTTTAAAAAGTTTTGTTAATAATAATAATAATAATAATAATAATAATAATAATGGTTTCAAATTAATTAATAATTCAAAAATACAATTTTATGATTCATTAGTTCAATATCAAAAAGAAAAAGGTTTTAAATAGAATATCAGACAACACTTTAAATATAGTTAATATTTTCAAAGAAGATATTATTGGATCTGATGAAATCAATAGCTTAGAGAATTGCAAATTTAATTTATTAATTATGATTAAAGACTATATGGAGCCTCTTGGTTATCTAAGCCGTTTAAAGGTCAACATAAATAAACTATATATTAATGGATCCAATTTCCTATTTTATCACATAGTAAACAAATCAGTGTTTCATATAATCGAAAGATTTAATCCAAAAGAAATAGAATTCGAGCCAATAGAACCAAGATTTCATAGTAACTTTTCAAAGTTGTTCAGTATTAAATCTATAGAAAAAATAACCATCTCAAGTGGTGACCATGTCGAGCCTCAAAACTTTTCGCGCTTTGACAACGAAGCTACAAATCTAAAATACCTATCAATTCCAATTTTATTTCATAATATAATTAGATCAGCAAATGGTACAAATGATTATGAAAACGGATGCGATCCATTATACTACGGAGCTCACAATGCCTCTGCATTAAAGGAATGGAAATCAATGATCAATGTATTGGCCAGTAATAAAACGATTGATTATTTAGTTTTAAAGAATTTTTGTCTTAATGAAAAATGTATAGATACAAAGTTAAATTGCTCATTGGTTACAAAGGGTCTAAAAAAACTACTTCAACTAAATTCAACTTTAAAGACCCTAGGTTTATTCGACTTGGATTTCTTTGACGATGAGATTGAAGCTGGTTTGATAAAAAACACATCCATTAACCATTTAATATTGTTTAATGAGTCTTTTCAAGTCACCAATAATTCATTATCAAGATTATTTAAAAATATTTTACCATTTAATAAATCAATTCAAAATATTTTCTTTAAATGGACTTTTTCTTTACATTATTTGTTTGAATTTATAAATGAAAATTTATATTCAAATAATAATAATAATAATATAGTTACCTTATCTTCTCTTTCTATTCATTTAGAAAATATTGAAGAAGAATCAAATATCCATATTTTTAATAGCGAATTAAACTATTCAGAAAAATTAAATATTTCCGAAATTTATATTTTTTATAAAAATAAATTAGTTTATCAAATTATAAATAGCAAAGTATTGGTTTTTTTAAATAAATAGTCATTTTATTTTTTTACGATTCATTATTTATTTATCTTTATAATGTTGCAAGGTTTATCAATGGCTTTGGTGAATTATCCAATCAATAAAACATAGCTTATTCTTTTTAAAATAAAATATTAAAAAAAAAAAAAAAAAAATAGTTTTTTAGTTTTTTAGTTTTTTAGTTTTTATATATAATTACAACTGTGTAATTATTTTATCTCTTTTTTAAATGTTTATTTATTTTTATTGATCTGTTATTATTATTATTTTATTATTATCATAGATATTTTTTTTATTTTTTATTTTTATTTTTATTTGCTCTGTTGTCCTTTTTTAAAACATCTTTTACAAAGGTTTGAAGATGCTGTTAACATCATCCAAGGTCTTTGACACTCTAGGCATTGATGGTTTTGAGGATTATATTTTTGGGTTCTGCTTCTTGATAAACAAATTGAACAGAAATCTAAACCTATTGATTTTTGTTTTCTTTGTTTACTACTGATACACCATTTGGTGCAGGTGTTTGAATCAGATCCATCTGTATGTATAATTGAAACTGGTCTAATTTGTTGGCAAGTTGTACATTCTTGATTCTTTTCGGTCGAAATTGCGCAATATGGGGTGCATCTATTTGATTGGGTTGGAGTACCAGGAGATGAACCATTGGTGGATGAGGTGGATGAAGCGAGTGACTTCTTTGATTTCTTTGGTGTACCAATTGATGTAATAATAGGATTTGAATCATTGGTTGTATTGATGCTATTGGTGGAACAATTTAAGGTGGTTGAATTAGAGAGAGTTGTTGGTGAAATTAAACTAAGGATTGATGGTGAGGTGTTAAACGGTGTTAAGCTATGGAGATTTTGTAGTTGGTGTATGTGTTGTAATGAGGTTGGTGGTTTGATTTGCATAGGCAAACTAGAAATAGTGGGGAGAGAAGAGTGCTGCTCTGGTAATAATGGATTATTGGTGTAGTGGTTGCCAGTATTAGTACTAATAACTAATTGAGGATTTGGACTTTGACACGATGATGTAATTGGTGAACTAACAACAGATGATGATTCACTTAATGAAATATTTTCTGTTTTTATTTCTAAAAAATAAAAAAAAAAGATTAATATAAAATTTTGTAACAAACTATTTTTAAAAAACTTACTCTTTGTTGATCTGTCATCGATATCATTTTCAAAAATATGCTGTTTATCTATTATGAATTGTTCATTATTATTATTAATATTAATATTATTATTAATGTTATTATCATTATTATTATAGCTAATTTCTATTAATGGTTGGTCAATTTTAAAAGCATCCTCTTCAAGGAAGTTTTCAATTTGGTCAATTTGATCAATTTGATCAATTGGTTGTGGGTGTAATTGTTGTAGTTGTTGTTGAAGTTGTTTTTGTCTTTGTTGTTGGTGTAGTAAATGTTGTTGTTGTTGATTTTGTTGTTGTAGTTGTTTTTGTTTATGTTGATTGATTTGCTCAATTGAAATGGAAGAAATTGGAGTATTTGGGGTTACAATATATATAGCATCCATATCTTTTAAGAGTTCATAAACAATATGAGATTCTGAAAGATCGTTCTTTTGATAGTCTTGCAATTTACAACGTTCAAAATTTAAAGTATATAATGGGTTATTTAAGCCAATATTATTC